AGGGGGGGTACTTGGTCTGCAACAGTGTTTGAGTGGGTGGAACATGTCAGGTGGTATCCACATGAATGCCAGAACCAAAGGTTTTCCAAAAGCCACTTTGCCTTGTATGGGTTTCAGCCTTATAGCCAGTGAGAGCTCGCTAGCACACAGTGGATCCTCCGGTCTGAGCAGAAAGAAAATAAGAGTGTCGTTTGTCCGGCTGTCCTGATCTTTATGAAGTTAATGCAAGAACTGTCATTCAGTAAAATATTATTTTACAATGCAACATCAGAAAAAAAGATCCATAAAATCCTACATCACGACTTAGCATTTTTGAGACTTTTGAAAGATTAAGACATTTTAATACCAGTAAAGGCCTTATTTTAAGATTAATGAATTCAATGTCTTTTAAAACCTGTTCCCAGTTACTTCTCAACTTTACTGTTCACACTGAGAAAATATGGCATCTTAGTTTCACCTCTTATAAACTGCACTAACAGTCCACAAAGCTGCTTACAAACTTTACTGCTCACCAACAAGCCATTCACCGAACCTTCACTCATTCTGTCAGATAAACATTAAAGCAAGCCTTCGTAACTTCAGCTGAATAACAGACACTGTGGCCACAAGTGCCACTTCAAGGTTAATGGTAAACAGGAGCACAAGAAGAGAAGCTCAGAGAGTCTGAGAACTGAGTCAATAAAGATACACAGCAGTATCTAGCAGAGCTGTACTGAATAGATCGAAGCTTCATTCATAACGTTGACATTCAAATACTACATCAACACTGAAATGCTGTACAGCCTTTTTTCTCATGTCTAATCATTGTGCTTAAACCTGTAATCACTACAGATCAGGCAACAATATTATACAATATGTAAAATTAGATTCCAGCGGTGGCTGCGTAGGACTGTTCCCAACTCGTGAGAGGCTGATATTTCCAATAGCTCCAGAGCGTTGTAAGGTCAAGTCGTCAAAAGAAGTTTGTATTGAACCAAATATTCTGATTCAGTCCATATTTGTTGGCATTTCAAAGACATTTTCACTGTGGTCAAATAACTATCTGATCTGCCGCTTGCTGCACACAAAAGGAGGCACACACCAGTATTAACAGGGAGGTCTGACGGTGATTCAACAGCACCATAAATTACATTGATTCATTAATTCAAGTTGATTAAAAAGACAAACTAATTTAGAAGTCCAGTGTTTAGGACTTATGGGCATCTATTGACAGAAATGGTTAAAAACATTCATAACTGTGTTTTGTGATTGTTGTGTTTTCCTTAGAATGAGCCGTTTATATCTACATACTGAGTGGGTCTCTTCCGCAGAGTCCGCCATCTTGTTCTACAGTAGCCCAGACAGACAAAACAACCACTGGCTCCAGATGGGACCATTTGCATTTCTGCATCAGCCACTGTAGTTCTCCTCCATGCTTGGCACACGGGAGAAGGTTCAGTTGGTTGCTACCTGCAACTAAGGGTGCACGATATTGGAATTTTTGCCGATATGCTGATGTGTAACAACTCATTTGACTGATAACCAATACTGATAAACCCACTTTTTTCCCCACTTAATTTTATGTAACAGGTGGACTCTAGTATTTTCTGCATAGTGTTGATATGAAGAGGCCCAGACTGTGGATATCTTTGGAGGCGATCTATGTTTATTCCTGACAGCTAGAGGTAAAAACAAAATCCTCCGTCAATCACGACCATGTGAACTCGAGCCCCCACACAAATGAAGTGACACAGGAATATATTAGCATATTATACACTAAGTTTAGGCTGAATAATATAGCATAGCTTAACATTGCTAAAACACAGATTACTACAAGAGTAATGTGGCTTACCTTTATCATGAAGTACAACAGCAAAAGGGGAGAAATAAAGTGGGAGACACCCCTTTATAGTTGGGGTACAGAACCTGCGTATCAAACGTTCCACATATTGTCTATGGAGGCCTCAGTGTGTCAGGTAATAACTGAAAATAATTTTGTTTTAATTAAAATACTTAATATCTTACTTTGATACACATATTCCTGCTGTATAATTGACCGTTACATTAACTGATCATCAGATCTCTTCTGACATCACATTATGCTGCGTACTCTTATAGTGACGGCCCGCCAGCAGATGGAGACATGAAATACAATGCTTTTCAATGTATGTAATATTCATTCATTGTGCAAAATATGAAAAAGCATGTTGGCTGATTCTGAATTAAAGCGTTTTAAAGCCGAATCAGCTGATACAGATGCTTTGCCGATACGATCGTGCATCCCTATCGACAACCTTACCACTACATGCCACTAAACCCTACACAGTAAATCACTTTAGTCAAATACAAGATTTAGGATTTTTAAAAGATATTTTGGGTGTTGACATCAGATGCTTCATTTGAAAACCTCATTAGAAGCTTTAAAAAGAAGTTAAAAAGAAGACTTTCAGTACAGCCCTAATATCTTTTTTTTTTAATTCACCATTTATTGAACCATTTCAGGGTCCAGTCAGACAACTTTCCAGGCCTTCCATAGGACAACATTACACCAGAAAACAACATAAACGTGCGTTTCAATTTGTAATATGGAAGCCAAAATGGACCAATAGAGTACCTGTAAATATAGGTATAAAATTATGAGTAATTAATAAGAAGAATTAAATGATTCTACATGTCACATTGAACTTCTACAGCACATCCAGAGGACACTTTCTGGTGCATCATGTCTTCATTATCAACCTCACAAATTTTAAGTTATGCTGATATTCTGATTTTGATAACTCGCACAATGAGGCCACGGGACTTTCATTTTTATTTCCCATGAATGCAGTCATATACAAAATAACTTTCTTCAATATTTTAAAGGCCAAAACTAAAATAATTAAACATTTTTCACTGGTAAAACTACATAAACATCCCTGTAAATGACAATGACATGATCAATATGTAAATAAAATAGTTTTTTATTTTGAAATGACATTTAAAAAAAAAAAAAAAAAAAAAGAAGTCATAATTTTTTTTAAAGATAAGCAACAGTGCTTGTGTTATGCAACAGAAACACTACAACAGATCTTCACCTCTACTGGGCTCAAATGTGAATTTAGGTCTATTTCTTTTAAAACAAAACATAATACAGTATCAAATGAAGCCTCCTGTGCGGCCTGTGAGGTGACGGCCATTTCCAATAATTACCGTTTGGAAAATTATTCATCACTAATGTCAGGAATGCAATTAATCTCTCTGTGAAAGCACAGGAAAATGACCAATACTGCTCAATTACAAGAACTGCACAAACTGTATCATCTTTAACTCAAAACTACTTATTATTAACCATCACAAAAAATTCCCACCCCACCACCCACTGCCCACCCCAGACTAAACCCCCCCCGTCCATCACTGCTTCTGCTGTATTGCTTCTTTTCGCGCAGCGTCTTGCAGGAGCTGAGTGTCCACTTCATCTGCAGGTAGCTGAACGTACCGGACCACAGATCCACGGATGAAACAGTTTTTCACAGACAGCTGAAGC